TCCAATTACCCAGATACACACACACACACACACACTTAGTCCCCCTCCAATCCAGTAACACGTTCTACAACGACATCATGAAAATCAGGGAAACGCCCGAAGGCATCGTACGGACTCGATTCCTTGATCTTCCTCGTTCATTGGGCTAATCATTCCAAGTTTGTTGAATACTACCCGGAGACCGTCAACATCCTGTCCTACCAATTCGAAAAGTTGGTATGGCAATTGCAATTCCCCCATACAGTGCTTGACCTCGGAACTGACGAATGGTATGCAGGACACCGATAATGATGGTAAGGAACATGATGGATTCAGCCCCTGTGATAAAACCAGGGATTGACGGTCAGAGGCAGGCTTGATCGACTTGCGCACCCTGAAGAAATACTTCGACAAGGATTTGCCCAAGGGATTCGATGAGAAATTTCCCGGGAATCCGGACAAGGAGGTTCACTTTGGCGGTTAGTATCCCTGGCATTCAGATACATTTGTCCTGCAGTTTTCTCAAGGGAAGATTAGATTTCCTTACGGCATTTGCCTACGTTCACCATGCTGTTTGGCGCTCCCTTATGCTTGAATGAGCTTGTATAAGCGCCATGAATGATGGTTCAGGATGGGATTTTCTACCACGGTTACACTGGGCATCATCAGTGATGATTTGAATCTCACCTCCATTCTCGCTGGTTATGATTCGTGTGTTAGAGGTCAACGCGGGCAAGGATAGAGTTATCCTAGCGTCCGATATGATACAAGAGCTTTAGTGTACTAGATCGTTGTTGTATGTATCAATCACTTTCGCTGCAATGACACAGATGTAGGTTCCCGGGGTATCACGATGTAATATCTCAACAGCCTTCTAGTATTAGCACCTCATCTTTTACTTTTCCATTACCGCCCATGGGGACAGTAGTTAGTGTGCCTTACTCAAGGTGGCATCTTAGCGGGGCGGTAGGGCCCCCCGAACCCCCGGGAGGCCATGGCCTAGGGCCCCAGCTCCATCCTGTAGGCTATGGGGTACCCAAAATCCCGAACGCTATGTATGGATTATAATTTTGATCAACATGGATCTCCCGCAAGGCGATGTCAAGCTGACCGATATACTATATTTTTGCCCATAATCATAATCATATATGTACAGTACAGTATATACCTCCCCAGGTGGGGGCCAACCCCCCACCCAACCTGCTATCTATCAACAATTCCAGGGAGTGGTTTTTGCATCTGGCGCAGTATCGGGTTTGCGTCCCGCAGATCAGGGTTAGCAGATCAGGTATACCGTATACGTTATATCTGCTTTAGCCTTTACCTGTAACCTGCTCGCAGTAATTTACGCGACAGTTCATCTTTTAAAATACAAGAAACCTCTGTAACCCCGTGGGTGGGCTTGGGGGGTTTCATCCCATTTCCCTCGGCGATACATTTAATTCCGATCGATATACAGTCCTGAGAAAACTGGGATATGGGCAGTATTCCACTGTTTGGCTCGCTAAGGATTCTAGGTCAGTCGTCCAATGCTGTTATATGTACCCCAAGCTAACTTGTACTGTAGATATCAAAGATATGTAGCACTGAAGATGCTGAGGGCCGATTGCTACGGCGGCCCCCATGACATCTTTGAGAGAGAAATCCTTTTTCGAATCTCAGAAGTTTCTAAGAAAAGCTCCCATGATGGCCGCAACTAATTTTGTACGAGGGATGCTTGAAATTGACCCAGAGTCTCGAAAGTCGGCGTCAGAACTGCTGCAACATGAGTGGATTAATCTACCATTGAAAAAACATGGCCAAGGAGGCAAAGATGGTCTTTCAGAGATCGAGCCCTCAGCGGTACTGAGTCAGGACTGACAGGCTGAAACTCGCCTGGAAATAATCGAGGCAGTGACATGCCATTGGCCTCGTCGATTAAATGGCCTACCCAATCCCAGTTCAGTCAATAATTTGCTTAGAAACTTAGAAATGCTTGGGCGGCGTCTCCGTCAGACTCAGAAAAAGCTCTGTTGGATTTAGGGTAGTAGGTTCAAGTTCTATCATTAGTACTACTATCCCAAGCCTGAATGAGCTCTAGTACCGCCTTTAATATATAATATAAAGTCTAGTATAACAACTTGGTATTAGTTTAAATGGTCTACGGCCCAATTCCCTATCAGTTGAACCGTGACACTCTACTCTACACCTGATTTGAGAAGAGACGAATAGTGGCTCTCAGTCTATCTTCAATACTATTGAGTGTTTCTCCGGCTTATGAAGTATCCCAGGAGGCCATATGGAACAGGCTCGGATCATTTCCACTGTCCAGTGGTCACCCTTGGGGTCGGGATTTTCGTGACAACAGCGACAAAGGGGTCCAGGAATTGCAGCGTCCTTTATAGAAGTGCTAACCCTTCCGGAGAAGGATATACGCCTTAAAAATTACAAAGAACTCCATCACCCAAGTAATCCTAATTACGTAGGGATTCGTGACATAGATCCAACATGACAGTTGCTACATGCCCATCCCACTCTACTAACGGCATCATCTTTCGCGTCCAGGCTGGGAGAATTGCTCAATGCCTCAAAGACCATTTTCACTTCTTGTTCCTGAATGCGCCCTTCAATTCTCTTCCCGAACCGGAGAGGATTGTCGGTGTTATGGGCTTCAGTCAGGGGACGCGAGTTGCCACAGGCGTCTGTCTGGACGGAGAACTCGGCCAAACAATTCAATTCGCCATTCTGATAGCAGGAACCTTTCCGGTTCTATCACTGCCGGCAAGGGAAACTGAGAGCGTGGCTGCAGAAGAGATGGCATTGGATGACACCGCATCCGAGTCAGACGTCTCTTCCGATTCCCCTTCTTCGACAATCGGCGATCGACCGCCCATCCCGTGTCTCCGCATACCGTCAGTCCATATCCAGAGCACTAATATAATGACCCATGGCTGTCCGATGGGCGGCGTCTGCGGCGGGCTTATTACGATGAGAGTCGGGCAACGGTGGTAGAATTTAAGGGCATCAGATCCCAACAGGGCAGAGTGACCTGCGTGGAAAATGGCACAAACACTTTAACTGTCGGTGCAAGAAGTTGGGCATGTTGGTGAGAGGAGAGTCATGAAGTCCCATACCACGAAAGGCTGCCAGAAGGATGGGATTGTGTATCCCCCTATAGCACGATGCGATACTGTCAGATATAAGAGACTCTGTGCTCCCGAAGGATAGCAACTTTTGTCTTCTTGTTGAACGGAGTCTTTATACAAACAGGAGAGCTTTTCGTCCAGTGGTCTAGCTTCGACTGAACAGGTCTTGCCAATGATATCCCTGTCATTGTTTCCCTTGAGAACGATGAGGCCACGATCTTTACGTCTCGTGGAACGGAGATGTCCAGACCAAGGACTGGCGCTTTAGATGAATGTAGCTCACGCCAGTGCCCGGGGCGTACTGGGTTCAAGACATCCTTTTCCCTCAAGTACTAAACCACTAGGTATCTATTCGGGATATTAGCTCAAGCGTATAGAGAACTGCTTGAGATACTCGAAATCTCTCGTTTGCTACTAACTCTCAGGATTCTCATGCCGCAAAGTGCGTTATACAAAAGTGGAATAAAAGAATGATAAGAGACACATGCCGTCCCTCAATCGATGGAATGACAAGACTACGTAGAGTCATCCGAAAACCAGCTCACCTCATCCTTCCTGCTTTCAGGTCTCTGACAATCCTCCTCATCAAGAGGAAAGAGTCCATCTTTGCCATAGAGCTCCTCCGCCCCATCGCCTTGGTCTTCCACGCTTGTTTCTTTTCCCTTCAAAGACTCCTCTCCCCACCCGGACGGCTGAACGAACGGCGTCGTCGTGTCCGAGCACACCTTCCAAGAAGAGCGCTTCTCCAACTGCGCCGTGCCAACACTCTTCGTCTGAAATAAATTCGTTTGATAAAACTTGAAGACAACCTTCATCACCCTGATTGCATAGATCTGCTCTCCCCACGCCGGATACTTCCATTCACAGGTCGCATTGGACGCGCAACCACGCGTGGGCGGTGCCTGCGACAACGTAGCCAGTCCCGCCACCAGGTACACCTCCAATGCGCGAGCTTCAATCTGTTCCTGAAGCCACTTCCTAGCTCCCTGGTCTTTGCGAAGGTTGTGAAAGTATTCATTTGGCGTTCGCAGAGTGTATATTTTGCCTCCTCTAGACGGGCCCTCATCATTACTACCACTCGCAGGGGGTTCCGGAGTCTTGGATAAACGAGAGACCAACGCAGTCAACCGCCTTTCCTTCGTGTGAGCGACAGCACACATATCATGTATACGTTTGACAGTGTAATCTTTGTTCTTATGCAGAGGCCACGGACACTCTTGAGCGTCCAATTCAGGCTCCTTGATGTTGGCGATCAAATTGCCCAGTTTGATCTCCTCACTCGAAAGGAAGGGCGTTTTGAAAACGGGTTTCGGTGGCATTCTGTCGATGGACTGGGTCGGGAGTTTCTTTGTCACTGGCACAGACTGGTGGCTTTTGTTACATTGACGTCCAACGCGTCGTGGAGGCCCGCAGGGAAACGACGCACCCTTATTAAATGCACCTTCTAGACAAAGATTGTCAGAGCTCTACAAACCAATTCATGGCGTGTTTTCTATAGAACAAAGGACTGGTCGCCGCATCACATGGTTTGACGAACAAAGCCCTATCTTTGTTTTGCTCGAAGGAGAATGCGTTCTTGCGGGTACTGTGCAATCTGTATGAAATGTTGGAATATACCCTTTCGTCGGATCCTGTCGCTGTTTCCAGAGACAAAGCGATCAATGCCGCGATGTATTCTACAAAGTTCACCACTTGGTGACAATGTCACCTCAGGCTGGTCCCAATGGTTGATGGATAACACAGGTTGGTGGCCTGCTACATATTAGAAACAGGGTATGGGCATCACCGTACAGCCTAGGTGTCATCAGAAAATGGAATAGAGCTATCGTGTTGAATTTGATAGCAAAAGCTATAATGTTGTGGTTGCGAAGGATAAATAAAATCAGATGCAAAAAATGGACACGCCGGTAATCGAAACCGGGACCTCTTGAATGCAAATCAAGCGTTATACCACTAAACCACGCGCCCTTGATGAAAGACTTAGTCAGTAATTTGCTTTATCAACCAAAGACCAGCTCACAAGGTTGCGAAACTACCTTGAATATGTTAATTGGAGATATCCCGTGTCCAAATATTACTGTTCGGTCAATTTGTTTGGCATGGTTGAGATTCATACAAAGAGTCTTGACTCTAGCTCAAGGACCCGCTACAACGTGCGCTATGGTGATCGTAGGATAGGTAGGAGGCCGTGCTAGAGCTAAAGAAAACATGGCACAAAGTAACAATCGAGACGCTGGTTCACCCAATCCGATATCCATTGCATGACTGCATAGTAGGCCAGGGGGATTTGTCATGGCAGTTGCTACTGGAATACTTTCCTGGTCGAATGAACAATTAGCGACAGTCGTGGGTGGTAACAAGTGGCTGTACGGGGTAGAATATTGAAGCAAAAATATTCGCAATTTGCAAGATTCGCTGCCAGAGGAAAGATCATGATGTATCTATGTGAAAGCAGACGGATCGATGGCATGAAAAGACACACAACACACATCAAGGCCGAGAGTTCAACACACGGCGTATTATTCCATGGAAGCATGAATTGGTTATCTTCTGCAAGGAGATAAAAAAAGTTGGTCCCGGAGAGGCTCGAACTCTCGGCTTCTGAGTTATTAGCTCAGCACTCTAACCAACTGAGTTACGGGACCAGTTGATGAAGATTACTTGTCTAAATGGTTATATAGAGCAAGACTAAGAAAGTCTCCGCTCCCATCACTTGGTCCAGCAAGATGGTTGTGAATTCCCAATGCAGGTCTTGATCTTGGTTATCTAAATTAGTTCTCGAAATTGTAAATTTTCAATCGTTGTTTGATTCTAGGTTTATGATGGCATCCGCGGGGTGCTGTGCTCGATTAATTGCCGTCGTTCTGGGCTCCTACATGCATTGAAGTTATATATATCCGACCAACTCAGTCATGATATTAAACCGAGTCAGCATTGCATTCAATGAACTTTCGGAAAACTGGCAATAAATTATATGATGATTGTATCAATACAGACAGATCGAACCCCACTGATATAAAAGATACATCCCCCGAAAAAAGCAAAGATGTAAGCGCCAAAAAAATAAAAGTTCCCGATGAGACCAGGGAAGATGCTGAGATGCAAAAAGTTGTGGACTCGCCGGTAATCGAAACCGGGACCTCTCCAATGCGAATGGAGCGTTATACCACTAAACCACAAGCCCTTCTTATCGGTTCCACTCTTCAGATTAGCCCTAGACAGCCAATGCTTGCCCCCCCCCCCCGGCCATATCTTACCCAAATCTCGTTGACAGCGACTCAATAACACTCAAAACGGGCCATCCAGTCTTATTCCCCCATTTCTGCGTTTCTTCAACTAGCTCGTGGACCTTCAATGGATCCTTGAGCCATGGCCCACCTGGACACATTAGTAAAAAACCCGGCGGTGGCGGGCACAAGACTCACAGAAGGAGATGGGGCCGAACGAATTGACCCAGACAGGCGCAGAATTGCTAGAAATCGCAAGGGCGGAGATCTGTGTTGCGTGATAATCCAGCGTGGCTTCGAAAGCATTGATCCGGTCAATTTGCTGGAGGGTATTCATCGTCGCGGGGATTGGTTCGGCAATGGCCAGGATGGCTAGGGCAGTGTGGTAGTATTGCAGGCTGGAGGCTGATATCGTTAGCCCGCATATCCTGTACAGGACATCGTTATATCCAGCGTTCATACCATGCCACCCACTGACGGTCCATAGACATGGAAACTTGCGTTCTCCGTATAACCCGGGAGTACAAATAGGCTCGAACGAGGCCGGTAGACACGTCCGCCACGTATCAAGCTTACCCTTGAGCGATTCCCATTCATGCTGCTCCAGGGGCGACGTGTCTCGATCGAGGCATCGATTGATGACTTTTCCCAGCAAGTACGTTACCCTATTGGCAAGGTCATCGTCGCCCTCGATTGCGGGAGGGAGGTGCTCGTCAGGGAGTTCTATCATCAGACTGCGCTTCTCTATAAGCGCAACCGTAATGTCTTCTCGGAGGTAATTCCAAAATCCGGCGTCGAGCAACCCTGTCTCACGCCCAGCAGGTCGGCTGGCCAATAAGGAATATGATCCTTGAAGATGGTTCTGGCAACTGATATTTTCTACACCGGGTTAATTCGCCGATCAGCCAGGTACTGGAAGATACACTAACGGGAGATAATCTCATACGACCGAAGAAGACAAATAGCGGCAAGTGTCTCGCCGGTGCGGAATCCATCGAGACTTTTCGTAAGCTGTAATAACGCCTGGACACTCTCCAGATGATATGACTCTGCTAGATGCCAGAGGTCCCTCTTCAGGTACGAAGAGCTCTGGCTGGCAGCGGCAAAGGCCAGGATTGCGCTGAGAAGCAGCGGGTTTTTTCGAGCGCGGCAAGGGACCATGTCCCCGAAATGGCGCTTTGCGTCGTTGAGATCATACCATCCCGCTAAGTGTTCGACGTAGTGACGAAATATTTCGGCAATCCGAGGGTCCTGAAGTGCCTTCTCGGGGTCTTTGGTTGATGTGTACTCTGTGGGTCGAGGCCTGGGGGTGACCACGTCTTGATCTGTGGTGATGGGCGATTTGGACTGTTCCTGCGCTCTGGCAGAGCCGTTGCTCCATTGGCAGTCCCGAGAAGCTTGTTGGCATCGGTAACAGACGGGTCGGTGTCCATCGCCTGTTCCGGGGATAATCAATATCTAGGATGGGTGGAGCTCACTTGTTGGGGCATACATTTGATCTTTCTTAATCTGCATTCCTGACTATTTCATTGTGAATTAGTACGTGAAGGAATGCACAGGGGGCCAAGATCAACGCCAATGGGGGTCTCAGATAGTACCATCCTACCAATAGAGTGATCAGTTCAATGCGAATAGTATCACACACAGGCTAGACTCACTGTTGATTAGAAATGGCCGGGGCATGATTGAGCTCGCTTTATCCTGGCAGGACGAGATGTGGAGAAATGCGAAGATTTAATGTTATGCGGTACGGAGTAGAGTTGGTTATTTCCACATTTTTCTTCTGGCCACGCGTTTCAATATGCCAATGGACAGAGATAAATCGTTATGAACACGGACACCTCCCATAAACACACAGCGTCCCGGCCTTCCACCGAAAAAACGAAATGCGAAGAGCGAAGAGCGAAAGCCGAGCCCTAATCACTGGCACTTGAAGATAGAAAGAAACATCCTTCATGCCAGGACTATAAAGCCCCCGCCCCAATCCTGTCATATGCGACTCAGTCAAGTCTAATCCGCTACTATACTCCCCATTGAGCACGTCAAGTGAAATCCCCATACAACTATGCAACGCATCACCTCTATTACCAGGCGATGTAAACCTGCCACATCCTACAACTCACCACGACGAAATATCATATCCAGCACACCAACCAGCATCACACCCACACCATCAGAAATCAAGAACCGCCAACTTTCCCCACAGAACCTGGAGATCGCAATGCGAAGCCTCCACCACGACGGCCTAGTCGTAGTAGAGAACGTCGTGCCCCACGAAGCCCTAGACCAACTAAACCACAAAATGGTCGAAGATGCATATACTCTTCAAAACCGGAAGGAAGACAGCCCCTATAACTACAATCCCGGGAACATTCAACAGGATCCCCCACCCGTGCGCCGGTATTTCGATCCCGACATCTTCCTCAGTATGTGTCCGAAGTGACTGAAGACAAGACAATGGAGGTACAGTACATGTACAGTGTACTAACGAGAGACCAGACCCCATCGCCACCCAAATAACCTCGACGGCCTTGGGCCCTCGTCCGAAATGGACCTTCTGCTCGGGAAACTCGGCCATGCCGCCGACGCCTGGAAACCCGCCCAAGTCGCAGCCGGTGCACTCGGACGCGGACTTCAATCACCCCACGCACCCGTTCGCCTACGTCGTCAACGTCCCGCTGATCACCATGACCCCGGAAAATGGATCGACGGAGGTGTGGTTGGGGACACATGCGGACTCGGGACTACACGTCCAGGACGGAGTGCACGGTGAGCGAGCAAGCGGGCGAATTGCGTTGGATGTCCTCGAGAAGCGGAGAGAGATCCGACCGCCGAGTCAGCCGGTTGTGCCCAAGGGGGCTTTTGTCGTGAGGGATCTGAGATTATGGCATGCTGGAATTGGCAATCAGACTGATGAAGTGCGGGTGATGTTGGCGATGAGTAAGTGTCTACTCGGCCTGTAGGTTGAGTGGGGATGGCTGATGTGATGATCACAGTTCATTTTGCGCCGTGGTACCGGAATGCCATGAGGCTGGAGCTTGCAGAGGATCTGAAGCCTCTGATCGAGAAAGAGGGGGATTTGGAAATTCCAGTCGACTGGGTTACGGGGTCGGAGGCCCTGTCGCGGTATTTGAATCGGGGATTTGGGAACTCGTATGATTTTAGCCAGCGGCCATAGGTGGTTTTATGGATTTATGCAATGTGTTTGTGGTATTGCGCTTGATCATCTGTCGTATAGAATTCAATTGAACAGGATAATATATTGCTTCTTTATCGACTGAACAGTAGGGGATCGTTCTGTCTACAGCATAACGTAGATGGTAGGGCTGGATTTTCATATTGGGACGACCCTCCATATCACCCCCACTGATCCATGGGGCAGCATGCCTTGTCCAGCGGAATTCGAGGAACTTTACGTTATTTTCTACGGTGAGGTTGAGGAAGATGAAGAGAGATATCAAACTGCAAAGCTGATTTCAAAATCTAGACAGTCTAACTAGGCTAGTGTGGCTATCAGAGGACCCGCATTGGTATAGAGACATAAGTCCAGTTACCCAGGCATTGTACAACCCCCCTAGACAGTCAAATACGCCGTTTCGACAAGGGTCTTCCGCTTGGAGCCTTATCCTCGTCGATTAACATGTCGGCGATTTGCTTGATTGGGCCGATCTCATGGGGATGTCGCTGTAGGTAATTGAGAAGCTCAGTTCGTTCCTCCCTTTCGCCCCGCTCTTCATAGTC